CCCCAAATTGGCAGAAATAACCCCAAAATGGGCAGAAATAACCCCAAAATGGGCAGAAATAACCCCCAAATGGGGAGAAATAACCCCAAATGGGCAGAAATAACCCCAAAATGGGGAGAAATAACCCCAAAATGCGCAGAAATACCCCAAAATGGGCAGAAATATCCCCCAAATGGGCTGAAATAACCCCAAAATGGGCAGAAATAACCCCAAAATAGGCAGAAATAACCCCAAAATGGGCAGAAATAACCCCAAAATTGGCAGAAATAACCCCAAAATGGGGCAGAAATAACCCCAAAATGGGCAGAAATAACCCCAAAATAGGGAGAAAAAAAAACAAAATGGGCACAAATAACCGCAAAATGAGCAGAAATAACCCCAAAATTGGCTGAAGTAACACCAAAATGGGCTGAAATAGCCAAAAATGGGCAGAAATAACCCCAAAATGGGGAGAAATAATCCCAAAATGGAGAATAAATAACCTCAAAATGGGCTGAAATAACCCCAAAATGGGCAGAAATAACCCCAAAATGGGGAGAAATAACCCCAAAATGGGCAGAAATAACCCCAAACTGGGCTGAAACAGCCAAAAATGGGGAGAAATAACCTCAAAATGAGCTGAAATAACCCCAAAATGGGCAGAAATAATCCCAAACTGGGGAGAAATAACCCCAAAATGGGCAGAAATAACCCCAAATGGGCAGAAATAACCCCAAAATGGGGAGAAATAACCCCAAAATGGGCAGAAATAACCCCAAATGGGGAGAAATAACCCCAAAATGGGCTGAAATAACCCCAGAATGGGAAGAAATAACCCCAAAATGGGCAGAAATAACCCCAAACTGGGCAGAAATAACCCCAAAATGGGCTGAAATAACACCAGAATGGGAAGAAATAACCCCAAAATGGGCAGAAATAACCCCAAAATGGGCAGAAATAACCCCAACATGGGCTGAAATAACCCCAAAATGGGCAGAAATAACCCCAAATGGGCAGAAATAACCCCAAAATGGGCTGAAATAACCCCAAAATGGGCAGAAACAACCCCAAAATGGGGAGAAATAACCCCAAAATGGGGAGAAATAACCCCAAAATGGGCTGAAATACCACAAAATGGGCAGAAATAACCCCAAAATGGGCTGAAACAGCCAAAAATGGGGAGAAATACCCCAAAATGGGCTAAAACAGCCAAAAATAGACTGAAATACCCCAAAATCTTCTGAAATACCCCCAAATGGCCTGAAACAGACAAAAATGGGTTGAAACAGCCAAAAATGGGCATAAATACCCCAAAATGGGCTGAAATACCCCCCAAGTGGGCAGAAACACCCCAAAATGGGCTGAAACAGCCCAAAATGGGCAAAACCAGAACAAAAATGGGCTGAAACACCCCAAAATGGGCTGAAACACCCAAAATCGCACAGAAATACCCCAAAATGGTCAGAAACACACAAAAATGGGCGGAAATACCACAAAAAAAAGGGCAGAAACTTCAAAAAAAGGGCAGAAACACCCCAAAAATGGACAGAAATACCCCAATATGAGCAGAAATGCCCTAAATTTGACAGTAACACCAAAAAAAAGCAGAAATACCCCCAAAACGGGCTGAAACACCCCCAAAATGGGCTGAAACACCCAAAAATGTACTGAAACACCCCAAAATAGGCAGAAACACCCAGAATTGCACAGGAACAACCCAAAAATGCGTAGAAATGCCCCCAAAATGGGCAAAAATAGCCCAAACCAGACAGGATTTGCCTAAAATGCGTAGAAAAAGCCCCCAAATGCATAGAAATGCCAAAAAATTGCACAGAAATACCCCCAAAATAGTCAGAAATGCTTCCAAAAGCACAGAAATGCCCCAAAAGGCACCAAAATACCTCAAAATGCACAGAAATGCCCCGAAATGCACAGAAATACCCCCAAAATGAGGAGAAAGACTCCAAAATGCCCCAAAATGCCCCCAAATGCCCTGAAATAGCTGAAAATGCCCTGAAATGCACCAAAATGCCCTCAAATGCTCGGAAACACCCCGAAATGCACGGAAATATCCCCAAATGCGCAGGAATGAACAGAAACACCCCCAAAAGCACTGAAATACCCTGAAGCGCATGGAAATAGCCCCCAAATGCGCAGAAACACTCTATAATGAAAAGAAATACCCCAAAATACAAAGAAACACCCCAAAATGCACAGAAACATCCCGAAAATGCGAAGAAATACCCCAAAATGCAAAGAAATGCCCCCAAATGCACAGAAATACCCCAAAGCAGACAGAAACATCCCCAAATGCACTGAAATACCCCCAAGTGCACAGAGATAGGCAAAACTGCACCAAAGTAGCCCAAAATGGACAGAAATACCCCAAAATGCACGGAAATACCTCAAAATGCAGAGAAATGTCCCGAAAACGCAAAGAAATTCCTCCAAATGCGCAGAAATGCCCCCAAATGCGCAGAAATGCCCTAAAATGCACCGAAATACCTCCAAAAAGTAGAGAAAGCCCCAAAATGCACAGAAACGCCCCAAAATGGCTGCGAGCGGACGCCCCAAGGAGTGGCCCCAGAATGGGGTGAAACGGCCCCAAAAGAGCAGGAAGAAACACCCCAAATAAGGCAGGCAAAGACACCCCAAAACGCCCTTAGAAACACCCAAAATCGGCTAAACCCACCCCAAAATGAAGGGAAAACACCCCAAAATGAGGGCACAAACACTTTAAAATGGCCGGAGAGAGACAACGCGGAACAGCGAGCGCGAAACAGCCCGAAACCTGTAGAAACAGCCCCAAAAAGGGCCTGAATTGGTTAAAGATGCCCCAAAATGAACGGAAATGGCCCCAAAACAGCTGGACGCAGAGCCCCTAAACCAGGCATTAAAGACACCCCAAAACGGGGTGAAACAGCCCAAAAAGAGCAGGTGGAAGCACCCCAAAGAGGGCAGGAAGAGGGACCCCAAAATGAGGAGAAATGCCCCAAAATAAGTGGTGAAAACCGCCCGAAAATGATGGAAACGTGGCAAAACGCAGAGAAATGCCCCAAACCAGCAGGTAGAAACACCCCAAAATGAGGAAAATCACCCCAAAATGAGGAGAAACACCCCGAAGTGAGGAAAATCACCCGAAAATAAAGAGAAACACCCCAAAGTGAGGAAAATCACCCCAAAATGAGGAGAAACATCCTAAAATGAGGTAAATCGTTCCAAACTGAGGAAAATCACCCCAAACTGAGGAAAACCACCCGAAAATAAAGAGAAACACCCCAAAGTGAGGCAAATCACACCAAAATGAGAAGAAACATCCCAAAAACGAGGAAAATCACCCCAAAATAAGGAAAATCACCCCAAAGTGAGGAAAAACACCCGAAAATAAAGAGAAACACCCCAAAATGACGCAAATCACCCCGAAATGCGGGGCAATGCCCCCTTGAAACATCCGGATGCCATCACCCTAAAACAGGGCTTTCTCCCCCCAAATTCCTCTGTCCAAACGCTCCCAAACGCCCCAAACCACCCCAAAAATCGCTGTTGGCGAACATACCTCAACCCCAAACCCCCCAAAAGCCACGAAATGGCCCCAAAATTGCCCCCCCCCCCCTTACACTTTCCCCCCCAAAGGGTTTTGAGCCCCAGGCCCCAATTCCTGCCCTTTTAGCGCACCCAAAGTGTCTGCTTTTGATGGTATTTGGCTTCTTTGAGCCCAAATCCGCGTTGTTTGAACCCAAAACTGCTCCTGCTTTCGGGGGGGGGCTTTGTTTCGTGTCCCCCCCCCCGGGACTTCCCCAGCTCGAAGCGACGTGAAACTTGCCCTTAGACAGCAGGAAATGGGGGGGGGGGCGATGACACCAACATCTGCCCCCCCCCCATCACCCCCCCCCCCCATAGGGACATATGGACACCCCCCCCCCATCCCTTTGGTACCCATGATGCACAGCCCCCCCACCCCCCCCATGCAAGGGGATGTTGGGTGCCCCCCCCCCATAACCCACTCACCAGCAGCACCCCACTCGCTGCCAGCCCCACCCGCGGAACCCCGCTTTTATCCCCCCCCCCCAATGATGTCAAAGAACCCTCCCCCTCTTTAAGGGGGGGTCGTAAGGGGGGGGGGGTGGGGGTGGGGCAAATAGGGATGGGGGGGCACCCTGAGTGGAAAAGGAGGCGTGGTCTGATGACGAGTGGGCGGGGACTATTGGGGGTCTCAGGTGGTGGCGGGAAAGGGCAGCGTGGGTCTGTACGGGGGGAACATTGAGGACACCCCAAAGGTTCAGTTGGTGCCTATGGGGGGGGGGATCACAAAGGGGGTGATGGGGATCAAGGGGGGGGGTGGGGGGCACATAGGTGGGGGCCCCCCCAAACCCCGTGTGCCTTTAACGCCCCCTCCCCAATGCACCCACCCCAATGGGGGCCCCCCAGACACCAGGACCCCCCCCCCCAAAAACCCCCTCGGGGGGACACAGACACCATTGGGGGGGGGGGTGTCCTCAATGTTCCCCCCGTACAGACCCACGCTGCCCTTTCCCGCCACCACCGGAGACCCCCAATAGGCCCCGCCCACTCGTCATCAGACCACGCCTCCTTTTCCACTCAGGCCCCGCCCTTCAGCGCAAACCCCGCCCCCGCCGCCCTGGTTCCAGTCACCAGCGCCTTTAAGGCCTCGCCCCCTTCGCCCTAAACCCCGCCCACCGCGCCCTCAAGCCCCTCCCACTCCCCCCTCCAAGCCCCGCCTCCCCTCCGCGCAGACTCCGGCCCCGCCCCTTTCCCGCGCAGGCTCCGCCCCCTCCCGCCTGGGCGCGCTCGCCCGCCGCCGCGGCGGCGCCCCCCCCTCCGTGGCCGGACTCCCGGCATGCCCCGCGCGCGGGGGGGGGCTCCCCCCAGCCAGCCCCCCAGCCCTCGCCCCCCCCTTGCAGCCCCACACGTGCCCCCCCCTCACCCCATAGCCCCGACGGGCTCTGCACCCCCCCCCCAATCCCCAGCCCCATCCCCAGCCCCATCCGGGACTCTTGGACCCCCCCCCCGGGGCACCCCGAGGCCCCCCCCGGGGTGGGGGGGTCCCGGAGGGTCCTGTTCGCTGATGCTTTGGGGCTGCCCCTCGCTCGCCTGCGGCAATACCGGCCCTGGGACCCCCGAGGGAGGGGGGGGCACCCGGTGGGAGGGGGGGGGATAGGGATGGGGGGGGGGGGGGGGGGAATGGGGCGGGGGGGGAGCAGCCCCCCGGGAGCTGGATGAGGCCTGGGAAGGGCAGGTAAGAGCTATGGGGAGGGGGGGGGGGGTGGGCTTTAAACTGCATGGGGGGGGGGTCCCCCGAATGGGGTCATCCCCCCCCTCACTCCCTGCATGTGCTCCCCTAAATGGGGGGGGGGGGCTTGGGCATGCTTGGGACCCCCCCTTTGAACGGATGAGGTCCCCAGATAGGGGTTAGAGGGGGGGGTGCAGATGATGCCCCCCCCCCCCCCGCTTTATGGGGGTGCTGTTATGGTGACCCCCCCCCCGTACCCCCTCAAAAGGCCACAGGAGGCAGAGGATGCGCAGCCCCCACCCCCTGACCACCATATGGGTAAGTAGCACCCCCCATAGCAATTTGGGGGGTACCCCCCAATATTAGGGGAACTCGCCTAATTTTAGGGGTACCCCCCATTATAAGCCTCCAATTGTGGGGGTACCCCCCATGATGATGCTCGCACCCCAATTTTAGGAGTACCCCCCCAGTATAAGCCTTCCATTGGGGGGGTACCCCTCCTGATGATGCTCCCAACCCAACTTTAGGGGTACCCCCCCATTATAAGCCTGCCATTGCGGGGCTACCCCCCCATGATGATGCTCGCACCCCAATTTTAGCGGTACACCCCAGTATAAGCCACCCATTGGGGGGGTACCCCCCATGATGATGCTCTCACCCCAATTTTAGGGGTACCCCCCCCATTACAAGCCACCCATTAGGGGGGTACCCCCCCATACTGATGCACCCACCCCAACTTTAGGGGTACCCCCGTATGGGGCACCCCCCACTTCACCCCTCTTCCATCCCACAGAGCCTGACCCACCCCCAACACCCCCCCCGGATGCAGAGCAGCCCCTTATACAGGTGAGATACCCCCCCCCTTTAAAAGCGGGGTACCCCCCCTAAAAGTGGTACCCCAAAAGAAGGGGGTACCCCACAATGCCCCCCCCCATCCCATAGGGTGCTGAGGAGGAGGCGGTGGCGCGGGAGCTGGAGCTGCTTTACCTCTCCCACCTCCGACGGCAACGGGGGGAGCCCGCTGATAACGGGGACCCCCCCCCCCGAAACGGGGCCCCCCCATTACCGGAGCGAGCCCCCAACACCTCCTTAGCCAATGAGATGGCGCTGCATTACGAAGCCGGGGGGGGCCGCCGTAGCCCCCCCGTCTTATTGGGGAGGGGGGGGCCGGTGGAAGGGGCGCTCTTGGTACCGGCCAGGCCCCCCCCCCGGGGCAGGGGGGGCGGTTTGGGGGGGGCCCTGCGGGGTTGTGGGGTGCTCTTGGCATTGGCGGTGCTGGTACCGGTGGCTTGGGGGGACGGGGGGGCCCCCACGGCGGCGCTGGCGTTGGGGCTCTATTTGGCACTGGCCTGGCTCACATAAAGGGGGGACACCCCCCCCCCAAATGACCCCCCCTTAATGTATTTTGACCCCCCTCCCCATTAATTGGGGTTCAGTGGGGCCTATTGAACTGCACCCCCATATTGCCCTGGGGGGGTGGCAGTGATTATGTGGGACCCCCCCTCCCAGCTTGACTTATATGTGCCCCCCAATGGGATTTTGGGGGGCCCCTATGTACATACAGCCATAGAAATGGTCTCCCCGAGTGATTGTGATGGGGGGGGAGGGAATTTAGGGTGCGGGGGGGTGGTTGGGGGGGGGGGGGGGGCTGTTTCCCTCCCTTCTCTGTCGCAGCCGTTTCCTGCCCCTGGGGAAGGTCCCCAGTAAAGGTCAGGGGCCCTGTGGGTGCCAAACAGCCCCCCCCCGGCCCCCATAGGGGATAGGAGGGGCCCTTTGCATCCTGCTGGGGGGGGGGGGGGGATCAGCCCCAGTGTTGTGGGGGGGGCTGCATCCCTTGGGGGGGGTCCTCAACCTCAATGGGGGGGGTGGGGGCTGAGCATCCTGCTGGGTGCTGGGGGGGGTCCAATGCCCCTAAATGGAGGCTTGGGGGGGGGTCTTGAGCCCTCATAGGGGCAGACAAAGGGGGGTCCCAGCTCCTCCATGGGCTCACTTGGGGGGGGGCGGGAAGAGGGTGTTCGCACCTCGACACATGGCACCCCTGCCGGACACGTGCTTCCCTCCCGCCACTGTTACCCGCCAAAGAGCACGAGCGCTGCTGATTGGCTGTCCGGTCACAGCGTCGCTCCGCCCACTTGACGGTGGTTGCCGAGGTAATGGGTGGGCAGGGCGACCCCTATTGGCGCGCTAGAGACCGCCATGGGGTGCAATGGGGGGGCTAGAGACCGCCATGGGGTGCAATGGAGGACCTGGAGACAGCCATGGGGTGCAATGGGAGAGCTGGAGACCGCCATAGGGTGCAATGGGGGGGCTAGAGACCACCATGGGGTGCAATGGGGGACCTGGAGACACCCATGGGGTGCAATGGGGGAGGTGGAAACCGCCATAGGGTGCAATGGGGGGGCTAGAGACCGACATGGGGTGCAATGGGGGGAGTGGCTGGAGACCGCCATAGGGTGCAATGGGGGGGCTAGAGACCGCCATGGGGTGCAATGGGGGGGCTAGAGACCACCATGGGGTGCAATGGGGGGGCTAGAGACCACCATGGGGTGCAATGGAAGACCTGGAGACCGCCATGGGGTGCAATGGGAGAGCTGGAGACCGCCATAGGGTGCAATGGGGGGGCTAGAGACCGCCATGGCGTGCAATGGGGGACCTGGAGACACCGATGGGGTGCAATGGGGGGGGCTGGAGACCGCCATAGGGTGCAATGGGGGGGCTAGAGACCACCATGGGGTGCAATGGGGGACCTGGAGACACCCATGGGGTGCAATGGGGGAGGTGGAAACCGCCATAGGGTGCAATGGGAGGGCGACAGACCGCCATGGGGTGCAACAGGGGGGGCTGGAGAACGCCATAGGGTGCAATGGGGGGGGCTGGAGACCGCCATGGGGTGCAGTGGAGGGGCGGAGCCAGCTCAGCAGCAGCAGCTCCCCTCGCTACCACACGGGGGGGCCACAACTGCACGCCTCAGCCAATCGGGGTGAGGGAGCTGCAAAAGCCACGCCCCCAATAGCAAAGGAGGCGTGGTCATCGAGAAGTGGGCACGGCCAATGCGACCACACTGCCTCTATACCCGGGGGGGGGAGCAAACCAAGCCCCAAATGACCCCCCCCAGGGGGCTGAGACCCCCCCCCAAATCACCCCACACCCCCCCCATAAAGCCCCAAGCACCCCCATAAGGGGGGGGGGACACAGAGAATCAGCACAAATGGAGGGGAAGGGGGTTTATTGCCCCCCCCCCCAGCACCAAGGGGGGATCCCAGGGTTTGGGGGTGCCCCGGGGGGGGTCCCTATGAAGCAGAGTCCGAGGCCTCGGAGCTGTCTTTGACGTCAGTGCTCTCAGTGGTCTCACTGACCTCGCTGACGTCTTTGCTGTCGGGGCCCCCATCTTCAGGAGGGGGGGGCACAGGTTGTGGGGGGCCCCCCCCTCCGCTACCACAACCCCCTTCCCCAGCCCGGGGGGGCTCAGTGGGAGGCAGGGGGCGGCCACGTTCTTTCTGCTCTACCTGCTTCCGCAGCTGAAAAGGGGTCACAGAGGTTTGGGGGGGGGTCAAAACAGGCTTAAAAGGGGGCTGGGGGGGGGGGCACCCCCCCCAATCAAAACAGGGTTTGGGGGGGTCCGGGGGGGGGGGGGGGAATACCTCATCTGCCATTTGGGTGAGGTCCCTCTTCATGGCATAGGCGTCCTCCCCATCTGCATAGTATTTAGGCTCCACTTCACTGATCCTGGGGGGGGGGGTATTTGAGGGGGTAACAGATGGGGTGAGGGATGTTTTGGGGAGGGGGCATGGTTTTGGGGTGCCCCCCCGCAAAGCCTCACCCCTATTTTATGTCTCCGGTTGTCTATGAATGCTCTTAAACCCATCCCAGCAGATCCCCCCCCCCATCTCTTTGTAACCCCCCATAGCCCCCCATCCCCTTCATAACCCCCCCATCTTCTTCATAAACCCCCCAAAACCCCTCATCTCCTTCATAACCCCCCCATACCCTTCATAACCTTCCCATAGCCCCCCGAACCTCATCATAACCCCCTCTAATTCACCCTCATCGCCTTCATAACCCCCCCAAACCCTCCTATCCCCTCTGTAACCCCCCCATCTCCTTCATAACCCCTCAACCCCCCCATCCCCTTTATAACCCCCCCAAATCCCCCCCTCTCCTTCATAATCCCCCATAGCCCCCCATCCCCTTCATAACCCCCTCAAACCCTCCCCATCTCCTTCATAACCCCCCATCTTCTTCATAATCCCCTCAACCCTCATCTCCTTAAGCCCCCCAAATCCCCATCCCCTTTATAGCCCCCCAAACCCCATCTCCTTAATACCCCCCCCATCCCCTTCATAACCCCCCAAAACCCCCCCATCATCCTCACTGGAAGTTGAGGGTGTTGGAATACAGGTGCAGAGCCGCCCGGTTGCTGCCAACAAACAAGGTGTGTGTGTGTGGGGGGGGTGTTAACTTGGGGGGGGGGTCCCCCAATGGGTTTCTGATGGGGGGGAGGGTTCGGGGGGGGGGCCTCACCTCTTGCGCACGTGGAGGGACACGTATTTGGCGTTGAAGTTCTCGATCATGGCGCGGGAGGCCTGGTCCATCAGCTTCTGCGCCAGCCCCAGGCGCCGGTGCGAGCGCTTCACGGCCTGGGATGGAGGGGGGGGAAGAGGCAATGGGGGGGGGAACACACCCCAACACCCAGGGTACCCCCAAAAGGAGCCAGGCACCCAAATTCCCCCCCCCAAAAGGCTTAAATCCCCATCTAAAAGCTTTCAAGGAGCCCCCTAAAACCCCATTTCCACCCCAAAACCCCATTTCCACCCCAAAACCCCATTTCCACCCCAAAACCTCATTTCCACCCCAAAACCCCATTTCCACCCAAAAGCTCATTTTTACCCCAAAACCCCATTTCCACTCCACAACCTCATTTCCACCCCAAAACCTCATTTCCACCCCAAAACCCCATTTCCACCCAAAAGCTCATTTTCACCCCAAAACCCCATTTCCACCCAAAACCTCATTTTGACCCCAAAACCCCATTTCCACCCCAAAATCCTTCCGCTGACCCCAAACCTCATCCAGGAGCACCCGGGATGCTCTGATTCCATTAAGAACCCCCCCTAAAGGGCTCAAATGGACCCTTAAAGGAGCCCCCCGAAACCCCATTTCCACCCCAAAACCTCATTTCCACCCCAAAACCCCATTTCCACCCAAAAGCTCATTTCCACCCCAAAATGCCATTTCCACCCTAAAACCTCATTTCTACCCCAAAACCCTTCCGCTGACCCCAAACCTCATCAAGGAGCACCTGGGATGCTCTGATTCCATTAAGACCCCCCCCTAAAGGGCTCAAACGGATCCTAAAGGAACACCCTCAACCCCCCCCCCCCATCTCCCCCACTGCCTACCAGGGATGTGATGTGTCCATGGGGGACATCATCAGGGTCCTCCTCCCTGCAAAACATAGGTGAGAGGTTGGGGGGGGGGATTGAAGCAGCACCCCCAAACCTATCAGCACCCCCCCATTTAAAAACAAAGGGAAAGGGGGGGGGGAAGAGCCCCCCCATAACCACACTCACATCTTAGCCAGGACATAGCCCACTATCTTGCCGTTCTCATCCTCAGCGATGTAGGAGAGCTATTGGGGGGGGGGGAGAAAAAGGGGGTGATGGGGGGGACAAAGTGGGGGTTCATGTGGGGGGAGGTGGGAAATGGGGTCCGTACCTGAGGCCAGGAGAGCCCATGGTAGAAGTAATACTTCATCTGGTAGTTCTCGGGCAGGCAGAGCAGGTTGCAGTGCTGCATGTTCATCAGGTCCTCGGGCTGCCGAGGGGGGGGGGCTCAGAACGGCCCCAGGGCATTGGGGTGAAGGGGAAGGGGGGGGGAGCACCCCCAGAGCTGCAGCTCCCATTGATGGGGTGGGCTCCCCCCCCCCCATATCCCATATCCACGCTTGGGGCTTGGCTTCAAGAAGGGGACTGGGCCCCTCAGAGCTGCCATGGAGGCCCTCAGAACCCCCATAGGATCCCGGTTCCCCCCCTAAACCCCTCCATAGGACCCCGTTATTCCCCTCAGCCTCCCCCCCAGTTCTGATCCCGATCCTGGTCCCGATCCCGGTCCCCATCTCAGTCCTGATCCCAGTGCCGGTCCCGAACCTGATCCCGGTCCCTCTCCTTGTCCCGATCCCGATCCCAGTCCCGATCCCGATGCCGGTCCCGATCCTTGTCCCGATCCCAGTCACGGTCCCTCTCCTTGTCCCGGTCCCGGTCCCGATCCCGATCCCAGCTCCCGATCCCGGTCCCTCTCCTTGTCCCAGTCCCGATCCCGTTCCCGCTCCCGCTCCTGATCCCGGTCCCTCTCTTTGTACCGATCCCGATCCCGATCCCGGTCCCTCTCCTTGTCCCGATCCCGTTCCCGATCCCGGTCCCTCTCCTTGTCCCGTTCCCGATCCCGATCCCGGTCCCGATCCCAATCCTTCTCCTTGTCCTGATCCCGATCCCTCTCCTTGTCCCAGTCCCGTTCCCGTTCCCGTTCCCGATCCCTCTCCCTGTCCCGGTCCCGGTCCCGATCCCTCTCCTTGTCCCGTTCCCGTTCCCGTTCCCGGTCCCTACCCTCGCGTTCCGGATGTTCATGGTTGCGGCCGCTCCGGCTCCGCCGCCTCCTCCCTCTTCCCTCCCGCGCCGCTTCCGGCGGAAGAACCAACCCCGGCCAATCAGCGCCACCTGGAGGCGTACTGGCAAGAGCAACAGCCAATCACAGATGGGAGTGTGGGTCAAGCTTATCCCACCCCCTCCACCCGCAGCCAATTAGAAGCGACTTCGCGTTGAGTGATCCGCACGCCAACCAATCACTAATGCTTTCGCCCCGCCCACGCCCCGCCCGTCACCCAATCATGAGTGAGAGGAACAGATTGACAGCTGCAGAGGGCAGCTCAGAGCACGCTTTATTGGGGGGGGGGGGGGCACAACGTGGAACGGGGCCGGGACTCCATGGTTGGGGGGGGGGTCCCCATAGCACAAAAGGGGGGGACCCACACCCGGACAGGGCCCCATTGTGGGTGCCCCCACTGCCATGGGTGCCCCTGGTCCTTATTCAGGGGAGGGGGGCCATAAATCACAGCATGGGGGTCCCAGATCCGGGGGGGGGGGGATGTCCCCCCAGATCACAGCATGGGGGTCCCAGATCCATGGGGGAGGGATGTCCCCCCAGATCACAGCATGGGGGTCCCAGATCCATGGGGGGGGATGTCCCCCCAGATCACAGCATGGGGGTCCCAGATCCATGGGGGGGGGGGATGTCCCCCCAGATCACAGCATGGGGGTCCCAGATCCATGGGGGGGGATGTCCCCCCAATTCACAGCATGGGGGTCCCAGATCCATGGGGGGGGGTGTCCCCCCAAATCACAGCATGGGGGTCCCAAATCTAGGGGGGGGTGTCCCCCCAAATCCATGGGGTAATCCCACTCATGGAGGGGTGTCCCCACTTATAGGGGTGCCCCAGTCCACATCCCAATGGGATTCCCATCCTGCAGTGTCCCCATGGAGCATCCAACCATCACTGGGGCTATGGGGGAGCACCCCCCCCCCGCCACCCCTGCCCCAGGCCCCACATTTGGGGGGAGCCCCAAAACTCATGGCTGCATGCGGAGGGCTCCATCCAACCTCACCACCTCCCCATTGATCATGGGGTTCTCGGCCAAGGCCTGGACGAGGTGCGCGTATTCCGACGGGTGTCCCAAACGGGAGGGGAAAGGCACTTGTTGTCCCAGGAAATTCCGAACCCTCTCAGGTAAACCAGCCAGTAACGGGGTGGAAAAGAGCCCTGAGGAACAATGTGTGTGGGGGGGGGAAATAGGGGGTGAATTGGGGGGCTCACCCCCACAGCCCACCCTATGCATCCCTCATATCCCTACCTGGAGCGATGGTGACCACCCGGATGCCGAGCGGCGCCAGGTCGCGGGCGATGGGCAGCGTCATGCCTACGATGCCGCCCTTGGAGGCTGAATAAGCTGCTTGACCCACCTTTGGGGGGGGGGAACACACACACACAGCCCCATGGGGATGGGTGAGCACTTTGGGGTGTCATCCCCACCCCCCCAACAATGGGTGCGGGTGCTCACCTGCCCCTCGAAGGCGGCCACGCTGGCCGTGTTGACCACGAGCCCGCGGTGGCCGTCGGCGTCGGGCTGGTTGTGGCTCATGAGCTGGGCGCTGAGGCGGATGACGTTGAAGGTTCCCACCAGGTTCACCTGGGGGAGGAGGTTGGGGGGGGCTGTGGGCACCCCAAAAGCCATTGGCACCCCCCAGGAGGGCCATCCCATGGGCATGAGCATTCAGGTGATTGGGGACATACCATAAACACCCCGTTGACCTGGGACACCCATTAAAACGCCTTGGGACACTCCTATAAGCGCCTTATTGACCGAGGACACCCCATAACCACCCCATTGACCAGGGACACCCATTAAACACCTTGGGACACTCTATAGGCACAATTATCCCCCTGACCAAGGACACCCCATAACCACCCCATTGACCAGGGACACCCATTAAACGCCTTGGGACACACTATAAGCACAATTACCCCCCTGACCAAGGACACCCCATAACCACCCCATTGACCAGGAACACCCCACAACCACTTTGGGACACCCCCAGAACCACCTTGACTAATGACACCCTATAACAACCTTACTGATCAAGCACACCCCACAACCACTTTGGTACACCCCATGACCACTCTGCTGACCAGAGACAACCCACAACCACCCACTGCCCAGCAACACCCCACAACCAGTTTAGGACAACCTGTAACCATCCCATTGACCAGGAACACCCCATAACCACCCTATTGACCAGGACCACCCCACAACCACCTTGTTAACTTGGAACACCCCACAACCACTTTGAGACACCCCACCCCATTGACCAGGGTCACCCCATTGACCAGGACCACCCCACAACCACTTTGGGACACACTATAACCACCCTATTGACCATCCTACAAACACCCCACTGACCAGGACCAACCCACAACCACCTTATTGACTTGGGACAGCCCACAACCACTTTGAGACATGCCACAACCACCCCACTGACCAGGACCACCCCATTGACCAGGAGCACCCCACAACCACTTTGAGACACCCCACAACCACCCCACTGACCAGGACCACCCCACTGACCAGGAGCACCCCACAACCACTTTGAGACACCCCACAACCACCCCACTGACCAGGACCACCCCACAACCACCCCATTGACCCCCGACACCCCTTACCACCACCGCACTCACATTGACGACCCTCTGGAAGTCCTCCAGCTCGTGCACCTTGTCCTTCTTGCTGTTGTAGGTCTTGACGGCGATGCCCACCCCGGCGCAGTTCACCACCACGTCCAGGCGCCCAAACTCCTTCTGGGCCAGCTTCAGGGCAGCTCCCACCTCCTCGGCCGACGTCACCTGCACGGGGGACCCCCGGGACCATGGCGTGGGGCGGAAGGGGGCTCCGGAAGGGTTCACCCCATCCCAGTGGGGGGAGCGTCCTTAGATCCCATGGCAACCGCCCCATTGGCAGCCTGGCCCTACAGCCCGCACCCAAAACCCCTCTCCAGGCTTCTTGCTCTATGTGTCTAAATGGGTGAACGACCACCCCATAGAGCAACCACCCCATAGCGACCACCTATATAGTGACCCCCCCCATAGAGCACCCACCTCATAGAATGGCCCCCATAGAGCAACCACCCCATGGAGTGAGCCTCCAATAGTGACCCCCCCGCAGAGCAATCACTCCATAGAGCAACCCCCCATAGAGTGACCACCTCATAAATCACCCCATAGAGTGACCCCCCATAGACTGATCACCCCATAGAGCAATCACTCCATAGAGCAACCCCCCCCCATAGTACAAAACCCCTATAGAGTGACCACCCTATAGAGCAATCACCACATGGAATGACCCCCCCACAGAGTGACCCCCCCATAGAGCAAACACCCCACAGAGTGACCCCCACCCATAGAGCAAACACCCCATAGAGCAATCACTCCATAGAACAACCACCCTATAGAGTGACCCCCCACAGAGTGATCCCCCAATAGAATGACCACCCCATAGTGACCTCCCACAGAGCAACTACCCCATTGAGCAACCCCTCAGTAGAATGACCCCCCTATAGATTTACCCTCCGCATACAGCACCTGCCCACAGAGCAACCCCCCCATAGTGACCCTCCCCATAGAGCAACCCCCATAGAGTGACCCTCCACAGAGCACCCCCCCATAGAACGACCCCCCATAGAGCAACCCACCCATAGTGACCCTCCCCATAGAGCACCCCCCCATAGAACGAACCCCCACCAGAGTGACCCCCCCATAGAACGACACCCCCATACTGACTCTCCCCATAGAGTGACCCCCCATAGAACGACTCCCCCATAGACTGACCCCCCCATAGAACGATCCCCCATAGAACGACCCCCCCATACTGACCCTCCCCATAGAGCACCCCCCCATTGAACGACCCCCCCCAGAGTGACACCCCCTAGGACGACCCCCCCACACTGACCCTCCCCATAGAGTGCCCCCCAATAGAAGGCTCCAACCATAGAGTGACCCCCCATAGAACGACCCCCCCATACTGACCCTCCCCATAGAGCACCCCCCATAGAACAACCCCCCCATACTGACCCTCCCCATAGAGCACTCCCCCATAGAACGACCCCCCCCCAGAGTGACCCCCCATAGAATGACACCCCCATACTGACCCTCCCCATAGAGCACTCCCCCATAGAAAGACACCCCCCCAGAGTGACCCCCCATAGAACGACACCCCCATACTGACTCTCCCCATGGAGCACCCCCCCATAGAACGACTCCCCCATAGACTGACCCTCCCATAGAACGATCCCCATAGAACGACCCCCCATACTGACCCTCCCCATAGAGCACCCCCATAGAACGACCCCCAGAGTGACCCCCATAGAACGACCCCCCATACTGACTCTCCCCATAGAGCACCCCCCCATAGAACGACTCCCCCATAGACTGACCCCCCCATAGAACGATCCCCCATAGAACGACCCCCCCATACTGACCCTCCCCATAGAACGACCCCCCCATACTGACCCTCCCCATAGAGCAACCCCCATAGAGTGACCCTCCACAGAGCACCCCCCCATAGAACGACCCCCCCATAGAGCAACCCACCCATAGTGACCCTCCCCATAGAGCACCCCCCAGTAGAATGCCCCCCCATACAGTGACCCCCCCATAGAACGACCCCCCCATAGTGACCCTCCCCACAGAGCGCCCCCCAATAGAATGCCCCAACCATAGAGTGACCCCCCATAGAACGACCCCCCCATACTGACCCTCACCATAGAGCACCCCCCAGTAGAATGGCCCCCCCATAGTGACCCCCCATAGAACGACATCCCCATACTGACTCTCCCCATAGAGCACCCCCCCATAGAACGACTCCCCCATAGACTGACCCCCCCATAGAACGATCCCCCATAGAACGACCCCCCCATACTGGCCCTCCCCATAGAGCACCCCCCCATAGAACGACCCCCCCATACTGACCCTCCCCATAGAGCACGCCCAATAGAACGACCCCCTCCCAGAGTGACCCCCCATAGAACGACCCCCCCCCCCAGAGTGACCCCCCATAGAACGACCCCCCATACTGACCCCCCCATAGAGCACCCCCCATAGAACGACCCCCCCCCCAGAGTGACCCCCCATAGAACGACCCCCCCATACTGACCCTCCCCATAGAGCACCCCCCATAGAACGACCCCCTCCCCAGAGTGACCCCCATAGAACGACTCCCCCCATACTGACCCTCCCCATAGAGCACCCCCCATAGAACGACCCCCCCATACTGACCCTCCCCATAGAGCACCCCCCCATAGAACAACCCCCCCATACTGACCCTCCCCATAGAGCACCCCCCATAGAACGCCCCCCCCCCCCTTTACTCACATCTGCGGCCGCGAACGCGCAGCGCTCCCCCAGCTCCTTGGCGAGCTGCGCCCCGGGGGACGAGCCCAGGTCGAGCAGCAGCACCCGGGCCCCCTGCGCCACGAACCGCTCCGCCGTGGCCCGGCCCAGCCCCGAGGCTCCGCCGGTCACCAGCGCCACCAGCCCCTGCCATGGG